ATAGAGTTAGTGACCTTGATATTGAACTAAAATCAGACTGCTTCCTCCTTGGTATTTAGATAAGAGAAATGAATCTGAAAGAAAAAACATTCTGATAGGTGGGGAGCAAAGCAGAAGGGTAGGAACAGTATCTTGGTACATGAAGAGAAATGGAAGGACTGTACACAAGGAAACTCCCCAAACTCCCAGCCTCTTACCTGTATGAATCAAAGGAGAAAACATGGTTGGTCAGAATGTGGAGGAAATACACACCTAACAGAATATGTCAGTACAGTGAAATGACAATGCCTCAGAAGCAAAAGCATAAAGCAAAAAGCATAAAGTAAAAGCTCAGAAGCAAAGCATAGAAAATTCTGGGGAAAACCAACTCTCCCATATACCTTGAGTTGGGGCTAAAAATTCAGTGGGGACAGAAAGCATTATGTCACAGTAGAAAAACAGGTCATATGTGTACAGAGTAGTACAACAATTCTCTCTCAAAGGGATTTGGAAAACAAATGGAAGGTGGAGCATTAAAATGATCTGATCCCAAATGTTCTGCTTTCCTTGGGATTAGGTGAAGTCCCCAAAGCAAAAGTATCTGTTTCCTGCACTATTATCCACCCCAAACAGCTTCTACTCATTGCTCTGTGGAATTAGTTCTCTTTCAATTAATTTAACAAAAAAAAAATTTTTTTTTAATCAGAATTGTAGAAAAGACTCTATCTTGTCATTCCTGGCCTCTTGATTCCTCTGTCTTTGGGACTGTTTTCATTGCCATGTTTTTCTCCCCCATATTTCTTTCCCATTTACTACACCAACAAGTTGCAATAATAAAGTGATATACTTACCAGTAAACTGCATTGTAGCTCCTAAATATGAGTCTACAATTGATCCTAGTAATCCAGCCAGACCCCCAAATGCAATAATTGGCCACTGGGGAGCAGAAATGTCTAAATCATTAACAAAAACCAACTGTGTGAGGAAGTACGTGATGCCCACAAAGGTGCCACCAAGTAGACTGGAAGCAAGGCCCACCATTGTGACCCCTCCATTGGTCCCTGAAGAAAAAAAAAAAAACATAAAATAATCCAGTTAACAATCAACAAACACATAAAATCAAGGAAACAAACAAACAAAATTGGTACCTATCTTATCAAGACCAATCGAAGAAAAGGTTCTCTTTCATACAATCCAAAGACCACAGTCTACTTGAAGTCTTTTCTCCTCAGTAACTCCTGACATTCTAAGCAATGCAAGGGAATGATTCCATGAAGCCAAACTGCCTGATTTCAATCATAGTTTTGCCATTTCTAAGTTATGTGACTGTAGTGAAGTTACTTAACTTCTCTTAATATCCTTGTTAGTAAGATGGAAATAATAAAAGAACTGATTCACATGAATATTAAGGGTATGAAAGAGGATGATGATAATGATTAAGAGAAAAAAATGAAAAGGACATGAAGAAGAAAAAGAAGAGAAAGTAGGGGAGAAAAAAGACAAGGAGGAGAAGGGAAGAAAAAAGGGAGGGGAGGTGATGACGAAGATAACAATATAGTAGTAGTAGTAGTAGTTAACAGTAACAGGGAACTGAGATCTATGTTAAAGCACTAACCACATACCAGGTCCTCATGAAACACTCTAACATTCTCTTCTTTTTCCTCTCCTCCTGATACGTCTCTGTGTTTCTGTATTGTTTATCTAGGACTTGCTATCATTTCCTGCAAATATTATTTATCATCGATTTAATAGCCGACAGCAATTTTCCAGTTAAGGAGACTAAAATTCTTAACAGTCTCTTAAGTCAGAAACACAGTAAGTCAGATTTTTTTTTTGTTCATTTCATTTTTTAATGAAATGAACTTAAAGAAACTTAAATACTCACCAACTGGAACTTTTTCCCAGGTTGTTATTAGCCTTGGTGGGCTTTTACTCAGAACCGGACCAACTTCTGAAGCCCATGTGTCTCCAGCAGAGCAGGCCAGTGCAGCCAGGAGAGACAAACACATCCAGGAAGCAGTATACTGCTTGGAAAAATCTATTGGGATTTCCCCGGGGCCATTTTCTACCATGTAGAGCAGGGCCAGCTCAGTGGGCACAGCTCCATTACAGAACACCTGAACCCAATTCCTCTGCCCACCTACAAACAAACAAGTGGATAAAAAGGACAAGAAATGTTTTCTCTTCAGAAGGAAAATCATGCAGTTACAGGAACTTAAAGTTTAAAGAAAGAAAAATTACTACAATTTTAATAATGACTACAAATCAAATGGTACCTTTGCTTACATTCTATATTGTTTTAGAATAATGATAGATTTTAATGCTTCTAAAATTCTGCTGTTGTGCTGTTGTAAGGATATTACTATTGTGCTGAAGTAAGGATAAACTAAATTAGGGGGCTACTTAAAATTAATCTCATGCAAAATTTATCTATTTCAACAGTCTAAACATGTTCTGATTATAAGCTTATAGTATCTTGGGATGAAATAAAGTGATAAATTATAAGTAAAATAAATTATAAGTGATGTCAAACATAATTCATTTTACCTTCTTTGTATTCTGAATCTAGACGCTTCTTTATTTCTCCCTTCCATTTAGTGAGTTTTGAAGAAGAAAGGAAAAACATCATCAAAGAGGTAAAAAAGCTGAAATTTGCAATGGTTAGGATAAATCCAACCACAAGCCCTGAAAGAAACACATACATACACAGAATTATACTCATTCCATACATTAATGCAGTGAAAAAAAGAATGGAACTTTTTTCAGTTATTTTTTACATTATGACCTGAAATGTACATTTCCAAAACATTTTCATTTTTGCCAATTCAGGTATTACCAAATAGTAAACTAAAAACTGGTTTGATTAAATTGAGATAAAAATTTTTTACCATATTTTTACCTCCTTTCAAACAAACTATAAATATATGAATGTATGTTATCATTATAGACATACTTTTTATAATCAAATTGTAGAACACAATAAATAGTAGTGATTTATATATAATATTTGGATAGATAGCTAACTTTCCAAATTAACTGTGGATCTCCCAGGGAGGTTTAGATTGTATAGTCTTTCTAGCTTCTAATTTTTATATTTTCCCTTCATAGCCTGGATCTTTTTTTTCCACTTACAGGCTAGCTTTTCATGCTTTTCAAAAAACTTTCAAATGCCCTTTTGTTGAGCCTCATAAACTATGTGAGAAGATGGAGATAGTGTTTCTTAGTTATGTTTTAATATGTAAATCTACCAAAATAATCCTGGATTTTATGTGGAATCAAAAATGGAATACTTTATGTAAATGTGATTTCAGATTTTTAGACTTTTTTTTTTTTTTTCTTTTATTTGGACAAAGAAGAAAGGGGACATCCTTCATTTTTCCATGAGTGAACAATTTCAAGGAAGGCTTATAATACCTACAGTCTAATCAGAAGAACAAACAAGATTGTGCACATGCACGATTGCATGTGCAAGTGGGTGGGGTGGGGGTAGAGGCAGAGGGTAAAGGAGAGGAGCAGACTCCTAGCTGAGTGTGGAGCGTGACACAGGGCTTGATCTCACAACCCTGAGATCATGACCTGAACCAAAATTGAGTTGGATGTTCAACTACCTGAGCCAGCCATGTGCTCCCCTATAGGTTATTATATAGAAAAGATGCATATCTGAATTAGCTTCTTTTTTTTTTAAGATTTTATTTATTTGACAGGATGAGACAAAGTGAGAGGGAACATGAGCAGGGGGAGTGGGAGAGGGAGAAGCAGGCTTCCTGCCAAGCAGGGAACCCAATGTGGGACTCGATCCCAGGGTCCTGGGATCATGACCTGAGCTGAAGGCAGACGCTTAATGACTGAGCCACCCAGGCACCCTGGAATTAGCTTCTTAAATTACTCAGATAGGAGCACCTAGGTGGCTTAATTGGTTAAGTGTCAGAGTCTTGATTTGGGTTCAGGTCATGATTTCAGGTGGTTAGATCGAGCCCTGGATGTCAGGCTCTGGGCATGGAGCCTGCTTGGGATTCTTTCCCTCTCCCTCTGCGCCTCCCAACACCCCACTGGAATGACTCAGATAATCTTTAAAGGCCTTTGTTACAAATTTTGAAAATGTTCTTAGAGTAAAATTGGTGGTTAAGCAGCAGAGTACTCTTGTTTCTATTACCACAATGGTTAGTTAATACTACAAAAATGAATGGAACAGAGGATTTGGGGAAGACAGAAGAGTAGGAAGCACCAGGAAATCTGTCTTCCCACCTAGACAACAATTGCACTGGAAGAATCTAACAAAACTGTTTTGGAACTCTGGAGTCTACTGAAGGCTTATAACTTTCAAAGGAAGGCTTGGAGGGGAAACTGCACTAAACTTTGGTCAATTTCACTTCTTAACAGTGTAGCCTCCTACCCATCTCCCACTCCCAGTCCCATGGCAGGCAGGGCAGGAACTGCAGGTGCAGTCTGCACACAGCTTGTGGGAGCCAGGTTGGGCAGGAAAGACTTATCGTCCACATACCAGGATTTGATATTTTTTAAAGATTTCATTTATTTATATGACAGAGAAACACAGTAAAAGAGGGAACACAAGCAGGAGGAGTGGGAGAGGGAGAAGCAGACTTCCCACCAAGCAGGGAGCCCAGTGCAGGGCTTGATCCCAGGACCCTGGGATCATTACCTGAGCCAAAGACAGATGCTTAACAACTAAGTCACCCAGGCACGTATTTGTATTCTGATCAATGATTGCTGCTTCTGATTATGGAGGTATAGACATAGAGGCTGGCAGCTGTTATTACACTTCACCCCCCAACTGTTACAAGCCCTTTCTTGTCTGGCTGAAGAGACTTCCAAAGGATTTAAAAGACTGATGCTAACCCCCCTTCATTTTTCTGTTTTTCCTCCTTTGGAAAGCCAGACATTAAAGACTAGGACATTCAAAAGAAACTCCATTTATGGGGAAAATTAGAAGGTGATAGTGCATACCCAGGGAAAGGTATAGGCTCAAAAAAGACTGGGAAGATCTTAGGTTTACACATCAAGGTAATCCCTGGCACAAAGACAGCTGCGACAATCAAAAGCAAGACAAAACAAAATGAAAAAGAGCAAACCCTGGGGACAGAGGAAATTCTGATTTCCAGAGCTGCCACACTGTTAGATTTAAATGTCCAGTTTTCAACAAAAATATCATGAAGCATATGAAGAAACAGACAAGTATGACCCACTCAAAGGGAAAAAAAAAAAAATGAATGGAGACTGGAAGGCCAGATGGTGGACCTACTAAGCAAAGACTTCAACCGTTTTAAAGATGCTCAGAGAACTAAAAGCAGACATGAAGAAAGTCAAGAGAACAATATGGGACAATATAGAAATACTAATAAAGAGATAGAAATCTAAAGAGAAACTGAAAAGGAATACTGGAGTTGAAAACAACTCAGTAGAGATTCAAAGGCACATTAGAGCAGGGAGAAGAAAGAATCAACAAACTTGAAGACAGGCAATGGAAATGATCCCATATGAAAAACAGAAAGAAAAAAGAATGAAGAAAGGAGAACAGAGCCTGTGGGACATATAGGACACCATTAAGGAGAACAACACACATGTGGGAAAGCCCAGAAGGAGAAAAGAGAAGGAAAAGGGGGCAGAGAAATTATTTGAAGAAATAATGGCTGAAACCTTACCAAGTTTTTTTTTTAAATTCCAAAGTTTGATGAAAGACATACATATAAACATACAAGAAAGAAGCCTAGCAAACTCCAAGTAGAATGAATTCAAAGAGAGCCACACTGAGACACGTTATAACCAAACTGTTCAAAGACAAAGACAATCTTGAAAACAGAGAGGTAAGCAACTTATCACATATGAGGGATCCTCAATAAGATTATCAACAGGTGTTGGGGCACTTGGGTGGCTCAGTGGGTTGGGGCCTCTGCCTTCGGCTCAGGTCGTGATCCCGGGGTCCTGGGATCGAGCCCCGCATCGGGCTCTCTGCTCGGCAGGGAGCCTGCTTCCCTTCCTCTCTCTGCCTGCCTCTCTGCCTACCTGTGATCTCTGTCTGTCGAATGGATAAATAAAATCTTTAAAAAAAAAAAAAAAGATTATCAACAGGTTTCTTATCAGAAACTCTGGAGCCCAGAAGGCTGGAGGCCAGAAGGCCAGAGGCCAGAGGCCAGAAGGTACTGGGCTGATATACTCAAAGTGTGAAAAGAAAAGGAAAAAAATCTGTCAAACAAGAAGCTTATATCCAGCCAAATCATTTTTCAAAAGTAAAGGAGAGGGGTGTCTGGGTCGTGCAGTCAGTTAAGCATCCAACTCTTGGTTTCAGCTCAGGTCATGATCTCAGGGTCCTGGGATCAAGCCCCGTATCGGGCTCTACACTCTGCAAGGAGTTTGCCTGAGATTCGCTCTCTCCAGGACACCTGGGTGTCTCAGTCAGTTAAATGCCTGCTTTCAGTTCCGGTCATTATCCCAGGGTCCTGGGTTCAAGCCTGCATCAAGCTCCCCTGCTCACCAGAGTAGTCTGCTTCTTCCTCTCCCTCTGTCTCTTCCCCAACTGACATACACTTGTACTCTCTCTCTCAAATAAATCTTTAAAAAAAAGAGAGATTCTCTCTCTCCATCTCCTGTTTGTGCTGTCTCTCTCTCTCAAAAAATAAATAAAATCTAAAAATAAATAAATAATAAATAAATAAATAAAATCTTTAAAAAAAAATAACATATAATGTGTTATTAGTCCCAGGGGTACAGGTCTGTGAATCACCAGGCTTACATACTTCGCAGCACTCACCATAGCACATGCCCTCCCCAACGTCCATAACCCAACCACCCTCTCCCTCCCCCTCTCTCCCCGTCAACCCTCAGTTTGTTTTGTGAGATTAAGAGTCTCTTATGGTTTGTCTCCCTCCCATTTTGTTTCATTTATTCTTTTCCTATCCCCCAAACCCCCCATGTTGCTTCTTGACTTCCTCATATCAGGGAGATCATATGATAGTTGTCTTTCTCTGACTGACTTATTTCGCTAAGCATAATACCCTCTAGTTCCATCCACGTTGTCACAAATGGCAAGATTTCATTTCTTTTGATGGCTGCATAGTATTCCATTGTATATACACACCACATCTTCTTTATCCATTCATTTGTTGATGGACATCTAGGTTCTTTCCATAGTTTGGCTATTGTGGACATTGCTGCTATAAACATTCGGGTGCACGTACCCCTTCGGATCACTACATTTGTATCTTTAGGGTAAATACCCAGTAGTGCAATTGCTGGGTCATAGGGTAGCTCTATTTTCAAAAAATCTTTTTTTTTTTTTTAAGATTTTGTATTTATTTATTTGAGAGAAAGCACAAGCAAGGGGAGTGGCAGAGGAAAAGGGAGAACCAGGCTTCCCACTAAGCAGTGAACCCAATGTGGAACTTGATCCCTGAACCCTGGGATCACCACCTGAGCTGAAGGCAGACACTTAACTGACTGAGCCACCCAGGTGCCCCAATAAATAAAATCTTAAAAAAAAGTACAGAAGAAATTAAGAGAGTTTGTTATTGATGTTATGCTGGTAAATATTCAAATAAGAATGTTATAACTTTAGGATGTTATATGTAATTGTCATGGGAACCACAAAGAAAACAGTTGTAAAATATACACAAAAGGAAATGAAAAAAGGAATTCAAACATTTAACTACAAAAAATTAAACACTAAACAA